GCCAAAGGAGTGGTCTTGCCGCACAATGACGCTTTGGTGATTACTGCGGAGGTTGCGGGCTTTGATGTGAAGAGGGTGTTTATTGATATAGGGAGCTCGGTGGATGTAATGTTTTGTGACTGTTTTTCGCAGATTAATAAGGAGCTGAATTTGGAGTTGAAGCCAGTGGCCACGGTGCTTTACGGCTTTAACGGGGGAGAAGTTATGCCTATGGGTGAGATTAGTCTACCCGTTGCGTTGGGGTCAGGAGTGATGAGGAAAGTCCAAACGGTGAGGTTTGTGGTCGTAGGAGCTGAATCATCTTACAACATCATAATGGAAAGAACGAGCTTGAATGCATTCCAGGCAGTCGTATCCACGTACCACATGACGATCAAGTATCCTGTGGGCGAAAACGTCGGTGAGATCGCTGGGGATCAGCTTACCTCGAGGAGCTGTTACCAGACCACGGTGAGCAACAACAAACAGCTGGCGAAGAGGCAGGCTGGACCGAAAGGGGAGGAGGTTAGTCGACCAGGAGGGTCAAGATCGAAAGAAGATAGGCAGAGGTTGGAGAAGGGAAAGGAGAAGGTAGATATCCGACCAGAAGAGGAGGTCGAGGAAATTCAGATGATTGAGGGGTGTGAGAAGAGGAAGTTCAGGATTGGGAAGGACCTGGAGGAGCCCATTAGGTGGAGGTTGATCTGTCTGGTCAGGGAGTTTGCGGATATCTTCGCGTATACAATGGAGGAGTTGACGGGATTAAGTGTAGAGGTGATCGAACACTGGCTGAACATCGACCTCAGCGTGAGGCCGGTGAAGCAAAAGAGGAGGCACCATGGAGCGGAGATGGATAAAATTATCGAGCAAGAGGTCGAGAAGTTGTTGGGACCGGGGCATATCAAGGAGATTCAGTTCCCAGAATGGCTATCAAATACAGTGATGGTGTCAAAGGCGGAGGGAAAGTGGAGAATGTGCATCGACTTCCGCGATCTAAACAAAGCATGCCCGAAGGATCTGTACCCATTGCCTAGAATCGACCAGCTGGTCGACTCAACTGTTGGGTGTGAATTGTTGAGCCTGATGGATGCCTCGCAGGGGTATCATCAAATTCCCTTAGTAAGAGAGGACATGAAGAGGGTGAGCTTTGTGACGATTCGAGGAACCTATTGTTACGTAGTGATGCTCTTCGTCCTGAAGAATGCAGGTGCCACATATCAAAGATTAGTGGACAAAATTTTCAAGGAGCAGTTGGGAAGGAATATGGAGGTCTATGTGGATGATATGTTGGTAAAAAGCAAGGAGAAGATGGACCATGTGCGAGACTTGAAGGAAACATTCTTGACTTTGAGGAGGTATGAGATGAAGCTAAATCCAGCCAAGTGTTCGTTAGGAGTGAAATCGGGGAAATTCTTGGGTTACTTGGTGACCAAGAGAGGTATTGAGATGAATCCAGAGAAAGTGAGGGCAGTGATAGAGATGAAGTCGCTGGCGAATGTTAAGGAGGTACAAATCTTGGCTGGTCGAATCGCAGGGCTAAGTCGTTTTATATCAAAGGTGGCGGAAAAAAGTGGCCCATTATTTAAAACACTGAAGAAGAGTGCAAAATTTCAGTGGACGGAGGAGGCGCAAAGGGCATTTGAGGAGTTACGAGGAATGTTAGCCAATCTTCCCCTGTTGGCCAAACCAGTACAAGGTGAGGATTTGGTGCTGTACATTTCTATCGGGGAGAGGGCTGTGAGTTCGGTATTGCTGCGAGAGGAAGGGGTAACACAGTTTCCCATCTATTACGTTAGTAAGGTGATGCAGGGAGCGGAGATGAGGTACTCGAAGATCGAGAAGTGTGCTCTAGCTGTGGTTGTAACTGCTCGAAAGCTGAGGCCTTATTTCTTGAATCATAAGGTGAAGGTGCGAACAAACATGCCGTTGGGAGAAACGTTTGGCCGACCATCAGTTTCTGGTCAATTGGTAAAATGGGCGGTCGAGTTGAGTGAATACTCGTTGTTGTATGAGCCGAGGAGGGCTACAAAAGCACAGGTGTTGGCAGACTTCATTCAGGAAGGCACGAAAATCGAGGAGGAATCTGAAGAAATATGGCAGTTATTTGTGGATGGATCGGTAGCGAGAAGTGGGGCCGGATTAGAGATTGTGGTTGTTTCCCCTAGGGGCGATTACTTAGAGTTTGCAGCCAAAGTGGGATTCAAGATATCCAATAATGAGGCTGAGTATGAGGCAGTGATCAAAGTGTTGCAGTTGGCTATGGCTGGAGGAGCCCGAAAGGTGCAGGTACATTCTGACTCTCAGCTTGTAGTCGGGCAGTTTCAAGAAGGATTTGAAGTCAAGGAGGACTGGATGCAAAAATATGTCGATGGGATGAGGAAGTTGAAAGAGGATTTTGATTCATTCGAGCTAATACAGATCCCTCGAGGAGAAAATGGTCGATCAGACTTGTTATCAAAAATTGCTCAGAGTCTTGTGGACTGTAAGAGAAGAAGTGTTACTCTGTTGCATCTAGAGAGAAGTGTGGTCGAGGCAGAAGTGGCGGAGATTGAGGAAGTGGAGGATTGAAGGGCCCCGATCTTAGAAGAACTGAAAGTGGGGGCGATAAAGGCGGTGAGGAGATTTTTTGAGCACGGAGGCATTCTTTACAAGCGGTTGTATGTCGGACCGCATTTACGTTGTGTGACTAAAGAGGAAGGTCGATATGTGTTGAGAGAAGTGCACGAAGGGTGCTGCAGTGATCATAGCAAGTCGGGGGCCTTGGTCGCAAAAATTCTGAGGGCACGATACTTCTGGCCAACGATGAAGGAGGATGCGAAGGTGATGGCGAAGAAATGCTTACAATGCCAAAAGCATGGCCCACTTATCCATCAATCGGCGGAGGCGATGACAACAATGAGTGCTCCTATACCCTTTGCCCAGTGGGGAATCGACCTGGTGGGGCCGATGCCACCAGGAACGGGGCAGAGGAAATTCTTGATTGTGGCAGTAGATTACTTCACGAAATGGATGGAGGCCGAGCCCTTGGCAAAGATCACGGAGGAGAAAGTCATCAAATTTTTATACAACAATATTTGCTGCAGATTTGGCGTCCCTAAAGTGTTGATATCTGACAATGGTACTCAATTCAATGGCAAGCGGGTTCGAGCATGGTGTGAAGATATGAAAATCGAGCAACACTTTGCCTCAGTCGCTCATCCGCAAGCTAATGGCCAGGTCGAGGTAACCAACCGAATTATACTGAACGGGCTGAAAACAAGGCTAGAAAAGGCCTCAAGGGCATGGGTCGATGAGTTAACCTCAGTACTTTGGGCGTATTGCACAACTCCGAGGTCGATAACGGGAGAAACTCCCTTCATTTTAGTCTATGAGATGGAGGCATTGCTGCCAGTCGAGGTCGAACTATCATAGTAGAGGTCGAGTACATATGATCCGAAGCAAAACGAAGATTTAATGATGGCGACTTTGGACACTATTGAGGAGCTGCGCAAGAGAGCAGCTGTTATAGTGGAGGCATATAAGCAAAGGATGCGAGCCGCTCATGACAAGAAGTTGAAAGTTCGCAGACTTCAGGTAGGCGACCTGGTTTGGAAACATGTCGATGTGCTCAAACATGTGGGAAAGCTAGAGCCGAACTGGGAGGGGCCATACCTGGTCGAGCGAGTGCACGCAGGAGGAGCGTACTCGCTAAAAGACGCAGAACGATCACTAGCCAGGTCATGGAACATAGCTAATTTGAAAAAATATTATGTGTACATTTTTTTCCTTTTTTTAAAGAGAGTTAGAGAATTTGAACAAGGATGTAAATTGCAAAGTTTGCTCAAAAAGTTAATGAAAGTCAGTTATCCTTCCGTATTACTTGTTTTATTTTGCATTTTCTTATGCTTGGAATGCTGGTATGATTTGGTTTGACTTGGAAGTCGTTTGTTTAGAACATCCCTTGGGGTGGGCAGGTTGGTCGATTACTCACGCCCTCGGGCTGGGTGGCCTCTTGTTTGGAACATTCCTCGCGGGTGGGCAAGTGTGAAGTCCAAAACCCACCATGACTAAGGCCCTCGGGCTGGGTGGTCGCTTGTTTAGAACATCCCTTGGGGTGGGCAAGTGTGAAGACAGATTCCCCGCGACCAAGGCCTTGGGGCTCGGTGAGAAGATATGAAGACTAGAGCACCAAGATGAGCAGAATTTCAAAGCCCAGCGGATGAGCACCTAGCGAACGAGCACCAAGAGAGACGAAGGGGCGCAGGAAACCCATTATGTTTAAGGCCATAAGGCTGGATGGTCGCATGCTTCGACCACCTCTGAAGGTGGGCATGTGTTCAGAATTTAAAACCCATCATGTTTAAGGCCATGAGGTTGGATGGTCGCATGCTTTGACCACCTCTGAAGGTGGGCATGTGTTCGAAATTTAAAATCCATCATGTTTAAGGCCATGAGGCTAGATGGTTGCATGCTTCGACCACCTCTAAAGGTGGGCATGTGTTCTGAATTTAAAACCCATCATGTTTAAGGCCATGAGGCCGGATGGTCTGTATTTTACATATCCATACGATTGAGATTGAATAAAACAATAATGCTAGAAAAAAAAAAGAAGAAGCCCAAAAAAAGAGCTGGAAAAACCACGACCTATCTTCAGTAGGGGCCTTTAGTCTTTTGATCGCGAGTAGGGGTCGCGAGAGAGCAGCGTGAGTCTCGATTGAAAGGAGAGGTCAATTACATCGAACGACCAAAAACTTTTCACCTCTGAAGGTGGGCATGTGTTCGAAATTTACAACTACGTGGATAGATACAAGTTAAAAGATGGAAAATGTGTTAATCACATATGAGTTCACTCAAGTTACCCCGTTAATAAGTTATACAAGTGCATCAAATCAGGTCATCACAAGCATCATCAAAGATAGAGACAAATTAAACAAAACATTTTCATTTCAGAAAGAGTTCACACATTACAAAAGTTCATTAAGGTACTAATAGCAACCGAAAAGTACAAAGTTATTCTATAGAGGAGGGGCGGTAGTAGAGTCAGCATTGCTCGAGCTGGCATTCAGATCGGGCGGATGGCTGGTCCCTGAGGTCGAGTCACAGGCCTCATTAAGTGGACGTTGCCGAATATACACAGCCAAAGCGACCAACATGGGAGCTGGAGGAGTTACGCCATAAGACAGAGCATATGTTTTCTTCAGTATTTCCGATCAAGCCAGAGTTCTTTCGAGCAGCCCCGACCACCACTCATGTTCGAGCGGTAAGTTGGGATCGCCCTGAAAGGTAGAAGGGACCTTAGGCAAGGCGTCCCAGATAGCCCCAGGATCGAGCTGCTCGAATGTCGTCCTCGGCGATCTGATCGCCAGCCTTCTGCAGGGCGAATTGGAAGCAGTCCACCCCGACGTCCTGCACCTCTTTCAAAAATTGTGGTGACCGCATAAAGTCGTCCACCACTTGCGCGCGATGCTCACGGAGGAAAAGCTGCCCGGTAGTGGTAGCCCACATCATCTGTCGAGCTCGAAGAGCAGCGGCATCAGCGTAGCGCTTACATTGAGCGGCGTGGGCAGCCCTTTCCTTGGCCAGGGTGGCCTCCAACTCGGCTCGGGCAGCCTCTGCTTGTGCCCGAGCATCCTCTGCCTAAACTCGAGCAGCCCGCTCCTGCTCGAGCGCCATTTCCTTCTCTTTCAAGGCAGCTTCCTTTTCTGCCACTGCCACCTCCTTCACCGCAAGAGTGGCCTCTCTCTCTGCGAGAAGTTCATTCTTTTTAGTGAGCTCTCCATCAAGAGACTTAATCTTGACTTCGAACTCGTTCTTTTGCTCGGTTTGTGTCTCGCGGAGCTTGGCGTTGTGCTTCAGGAGAGTCGAATTCTTGTCCTGCAGAAAGCCAAGAGCACCCTCAAGACTCTTTATCGACTTTCCAAAACTGTCTCGAGCCTCTTTGGCCAGGGGCAAAAATTGAACCAAGTCCTATAAACAAAGACAGTAAGACAGTTCAATCTATGTATCGAAAAAGGATGGTAGGGAGGATTTAATACAAGTTCAAGACAAGTAATACCTGGGCAAGCCATTGCACGAGCTGGTCGCTGACTTCGGGCAAAGTGGCACTGGCCTTTTTGCGGTTGTCCTCGAGGAGGGCACCTTCGAGACGCTCGGCCACTTCGTTCACGGAGGCCGATAGCAAGTAGGTAGGTTTTGGGGCCAGCGGGTCAGGCCAAGAATGGCTGGCACGCCCCCGTTTCCAGACCATTTTGCCCTGGTCGGTGCGAGAGCGCTTCCCCAGGGCCAGCTCGCGCCCCAACTCATCTTGACTACTAGACTCGACCAGAGCCTTGGTCGAGCCAGCAGAAAGATTCTTAGAGGAAGAATGATCGACCGGAGGTTTGTCGTGGGTCTTGGTTTTGGATGAGGCAGTGGGTTCAGAGGATTTGTCCGTGGCCTTGGAGGAAGTGGCATCTTTGGGATTGGAAGCTCGAGGGTCGGTCTTCTAGTGGCGGTTGTCGGTCTTTTGGCGGTCGTCGGTTTTTTGGTGGCGGCCGTCGGTTTTATGTTGGCGGTCAGTGGTTTTTTGGCGATCATCGGTTTTAGAAGAGATAGTGGTTTTCGTGCTCGAAGAGGAAATGGACTGGTGTTGTGGGTTCCTCTCAGGAGGGGGTATTGGAGTTCGTCCTTGAGGCGGCTTTTGTTGTTGTGGTTGTTGTTGTTGTTGTGGTAGTTGCTGCTGATGTTGTTGTTGATGTTCCTTCGAAGGTGGTGGTGGAGTCAATGGAGTCTCTCGCGGAGGCGATCGCTGTTGTGGCTCTGGTCGAGATCCAGAAGAAGTAGCTGACCCCTCGGTTTTGTCTCCGGTCGAGCCTGAGGCAGCCCCTGACTTCTTCCTCAGAGGAGTTTTCCTCGGTGGAATGTTGAAACTGGGCACCTCTGCAAGAATAAAAACAAGAATATTAGAACCAACATTAACAGAGGATAATTAAAACGAAAATAGAGGAGTGTAGAAACATTCGAGTAATTTGGTCGAAGATTACCTGGGTCATTCTCGATCTGGATAAGATCGAGGATCTCATCACTGGGGGTAGGATAGGTTTTGTGGGTGAGAAGACCACAATGGTGAAGAAGGTTTTCGTCCTTAAGAAGTTTTTATGACGCAACGGACTTGGAATTCCAAGTGTGGACCCGTTGGTCGAAAAGAGGATTTGGAGGTGGGGCCGAAGCCGCTTCTTGTGAAACTTCCATGACCCAAGGGATAGAGGGCCAAGGGGAAGGGACATCGGGTTGAACAAAACTGAATTTATCGCTCCACTTAGGACGATTGGAGGGAATGTCATTAATAAAGTGGGCTCCGTTGCGCCTTCTTAAATAGAGGCCTCGACCTTTTGCTTGGACGGGGCATAGCAAAAATGGAAGAAAGCCAGGTCGAATCGACCTAAGAGGATGTGACAGAGGATGATGAAGGGGGTCATGAAACGGATGGCATTAGGAGGAAGTTTATTCAGGGAAAGCGAGAACCACTCGCAAATGCGGAATATCTCAGGGTTCAAAGGAAAACGGAGGCCGAGCTTGAATTGGATCTCGAAGAAGGTATAGTAGTTTCTGGGAGGGTGGTCATATTTGTCAGATGGAGAAGAGCTATAGAAGGCCCATCCAATAGGTCGGCCGATTTTCGAGGGACTCAGCCAATCACTAGAGAGGGAAAGAGAAGATTGGCGCTTGGAAGAGATCTTAGAAGATCCTTTGGTCGAGGGTTTTCTAGGAGGAGAGTTAGAAGGGCCAGGTTGGGAGGAAGAAGGCGGAATGGTCGAAGATGTGGGAGTAGCGGGTTGAGGAGAAATGACCTCGTCCTGCTCTGGATCGTCTAACGCGCCAAGAGCAGGTCGACGGCGGCGGAGAGGAATGTTATCCATAGTATCCCCGGAGTTGGAAGAAGCAACACGGGCTGTGAAAATACGGGTAGGAACAGATTCGCCGGGGCGAAGAATTGAGAGAGTAACAACTTCAAGTGCAGAGGGCAATACTTGAACCAAGTCAGAGGAGGTGGTCGAGGTAGCAGGATCTGAAAAAAAAAAAATATCAAAAAGAAGGATTTTGACCAAAAAAAAGGGAAGAGGAGAAGGTTTGCAAAGCTAGGGTTCTACGAAGAGGCGATTTAGGAGAAATTAGAGAAGGAGAACAGGGATTTCGGGAGATTTTCGAAGAAAAAAGGCAAAATTCACAATAATTAATAAGCGGATACAGACATTCAACACGTAAACTCAAAATACCCAATTAGCAAACTTCAGATACCCAATTCAAGAAATTCAAAACGCAAAATCTCAGATACAGAAAACGTAAAATCAGGTGAGAAACAACTTACTCATAATCGCAGAAGAGAGAAGTAGGAAAGCTCGAGAATTGTAGGAGGAATCGCCGGGAAAAGCTAGAGTTTTGCAGGGAGGATTTTTTAATGCAAAGGAAGATGAGAGTCGCAGAGGTGGAAAAAGTCTGAAAATCCGCTAAGTGTGGAATTTATACTTTGAAAAGTTAAAGGGTTGGAAGATTAGGACCGTTGGTGTAACGCCCCACTTTTATTTGACGAAAGTCAAGGACTTTTCAAAAATTCAACTTAAATTTTTCAAAATCTTTTCATAAATCGACGACGCTACTCGAACTAAATCACATAACTAACGTAAATCATAAATCCAATGTTTTCATAAATCTCAAGTTCATCCAAATTATTCATAACTCCCAATTCAAAGTTCTCAAAATCCCAAAGTCATAAATCATAAATACTAAAGTCGTAATTGCATAAATAATCATAAATAGTCTAGCATGCGGAATAAACTAAAGGAAGTCGCTCAAAGACCAACATTTTGTCTCGTCAGCCAACACCTGCTTAACCTGCATCCATGAAGAGCAGGTGGGAGTGAGCACGATGAACTGTTGGGCTCACTACTATGCATATGAACAATAATAATAAACGAGAAATTAAATGGCATGGTCGTTGTATGAACATAATTAATAAACATCCCATCTCCTAACCAAAGTATTTCTCATGTGCACACCTATAACAATAGACTGTTGTTCGTATGCCTTTCGGCGAACATAAATGGGGTGCCCAAACAGCAGGAGGCTCAACCGTCACAGCACGCACCTAGTGCTTGGACAGAATATCCATCACCGGCCAGGGCACATTGCCAAGGTCTTACAGATGACGTAGTCCTTAGCAAAGGACAAACATGGAGATTACCCTTGCGGGGTACGTTCTATAGCTATGGGGATAACTGTTCGACGGCCGGCACAACTCACATCGAAGGTTACATGTTCACATGCATACATTAATCATACCCACATAAATAAAACATTTATCATTCAAGGCATAGACAATTTAAATAACACCCACCTGGAAATCGAGGTAGAAAAGCACACAAATAAATCGGTAGGTCGGTGAGGCTCGATTCCTCAAACACCTACATTTAAGCGAGATAATAATACATAATTTATCTCACTACTCGGAATAACATAGAAAGTCATACTTAATCGAAAATTGACGATTACGGGATTTTATACGATTTTCCGTAGACTTGGAACTCTCTCCCATTTTAGAAAAATGGGACTCAGAGGACTAAATTTGGATCCCATTTTAGAAAAATGGGACTCAGAGGACTAAATTTGGAGTCTCAGAACTTAGAATAATTTTTCCCAAATTTTCTCATTTTATAAATATTCTTAAAAATGAAATCGGTATAAAAAACGGGCTTCCGAAATTCAAAATAGGACTAAAAGAATGAATTGGGTTGAGCTT